ATATTCTAGTAAGCTCTTACCTACTGGAGATCTGCCTAAACCAAGAAATAGCTATGATATGGATTCAGCTGCAGGTATACGTTTACACGTTGGTACAAATAAAGTTAATTTACGATATTAACATCGTACATTTCTTATATTTAGAGACTCAAACTCTTTTTGAATAAACTTGTAATTCAACAGGTTTATTTACAGTTATGCGAGTTTTATTCAAAGGTTCGAATTATACGATGTGCTTCCACGTATGTCAATATGGTTGAGTTAACAAGATGCACGTTTACTGTTAGCTGCTTCTGACGGGAAAAGTGGTTTACACTTTGCCAGCGACGACGCTGTATCTTCACCGGGGAATAAACAAAATAGAATATAAAGAAATATTTTAATGGAGGAATAATAAGAAATTATCTGAAGATGCTGTTCGGCTATCATCTACGACTCGTTTATATGACTATTGATCGCTTCAATAAATTGTCAAGAATTTTCGATAAATGGGGAAATTAAAATTTGCTGTGTAATCTGAGTGTCATATGGTATACTCGACAATCACGTGATATATTTTAATTTTAATTGACCAATAATATTGTAATATGTAAGCAAAAATTATTATGTTAAGTAAATGTAAAGTTATATAAAATTAATGCTTTTTCTTAATAATAATATATTTAGTTTCGATCTATCAATTTTAACCAATTATATGCTACTCATATGATCACGTGGTTGAATTAACATGATCAAAAATCTGACCGGTAACTTTGTAGAGCTTGTTATGAAGAACAAAGTTACCAGTCGGATTTTTGATATCTCATCTGTGTAAGAAGTTGAAAGACTGTAAAAATGCTTTATTTTTTCATCACGTGACTGTCGGGTATTTGATCAATTCTGTCACGATTTTCGTCCCGATGCGGTCATTTTTCTTGAATTCCATTCTTGAGACATTAGCGACTTCGACTCAAAGTGGCTAATCCTTAAAGGAATTTTTGATATCACCTCATCTGCATCATTGATATTAATAGTAACTTGACACCTTGAATATGCCTAACAGTTTACTTCGTTTTTTTGTCCTTAGTCCAGAATGTTTTTTCTTGAGTTGTTCGAGGAGTGTTTCGATTTTCAACAAAGTTTTTGCTTTGCTCATTTCTTCATTTTTGTAATCAGAATTGGCCTAAATAAAGGAAGTATCAAAGATAGAATTAAACTCTTCTCACATCTATTTCTTAAATTTTTCTTGACGACAATGGAATGACGTATATTCCTCAATTCAAGTTACACACTAATTACTTCTACTCCTGCTTAAATTGCTAATACAGTTGGTGACCTTAAAACTGACTTTAATTATACTCACAATTCTCCAAATAACCAACCGGTATATTAATATCGCGGGTTCTCCTATTGTTAATTACTCTGCAGATATCTTCTATCCTAAATCGGTGGAATTAGTTTCGATAGTCAGTATGGGTTGACTATACGCGTATGTTAGTAATAATTAACAATTGTATGTGCCAATTACGAGAATTGAAGAACAAAATATTCTACCCAGCGATTCCGGAACCCGTAGTTTTACAACTGCAGAATCACTGAAGTAATTAATGTCCAATATGTATATCGTTTATTACATGAATGATAAGCTAATAATAGAACAATTGTTGAAGGAATGTTCGGGTTCAAGAACGGAATCCAACTATAAATAAAGATAATCATGATCATGCTGAAGATGAGCCGAAGATGCCGATTTCGAGAGAAACTACGACTGCTTATATCGTCTCACTAAATTAATTTTCGATAAATCGGGAAAATATCTAATTAATTCTAGTGTTAGAGATTCTGTCCAAAAATCCTGACGCGCTGCATATGTCACAATTTTCGCTATAAATTTCCGTATACTACGCGGAGGAATACGTTATTCATACTATTATCCAAATGTTACACGCGAAATATTTTCTTTTTTAGGGTAGTATAATCTGACTTGGGGGAGAAAATTCCTGATTATTGTTAAAGTTTGAACAGGTAGCTTAGAAATAAAGTCGCAACACTATTTACGGTTGTTTTATTCTTGATTACATAATGTATAGATATAGTTTTTGATGGAATAGGAAGCATCCAGTTGACTCTGTTTATACCAAACTGAAGAATTTTCGTCCGAATCGTAATTACCAGAGAAGTCACATCATTTTTTAACCACTTTGTTGTCTTGCAGGAATTGGGGAGGAATATAATATTGGTCTCCACTGCTCAATTAAGATAGAATGTTGCGTCGATCAATGAATACATAATAGTATCGTACTGCGAACAGAGGATAGCAGTCCCGAAGAAAGGTTAACTTTCCCCCTTTGGGCTTTCAATTAATAATATTAATACTATTATTCAGAATAAATCCCTTCCTTTATCTCTCTTCTCCATTTATTTACGGATACCAGGTCAAGGAAGATTACAAAAAGAAATTGAAGAAAGTTAATCTTAAATGTCTATCTACGTACTACTGATATCTCAGTTCGAATGTTCAAATATTCGAATTTCACGACAGTACACGGTTCACGCATTCAAAATAAACGAAACAATGGCGCGATTTCATATAATTACTAATTTGCTTTTGTAACAGGAAATAGTGATATAGCAAAAGAAGGCCATATCAAAGTTCAATGCTTAAAAATCAAGATTAGAATTTTCTAGAGACGTAAAGAACGACGCTATAAATACTGATTGCAGGTATTATTTACAAACAGAAATGAAAAACGATGAACTATGTAACTAGTAAGTTTATACAATTACTTCAAAAACTTCATAGTCCTCAAACGCAAATACTCCAGTCTGCGTTAGCAATCTTTCATAACTCCTGGGCATACAACATCCTCTTCGATCAGTGATTATCAAATCGGATTCACCGAAGCTAGGTCCGTAACCGGGGGTGCATAGAATAGCATGGGAGGCCGTAGTTACTCTGCTTATGCGATACTGATCTTTCTCCCCATCCTTAAATGCAAACAGAAAACTATCCATGGTAAATCTGTAATACCTCACAGTTGGCCATTGCTCATCACAAGGACCACAGCTTGTCACAAATAGCATCTGGGTTCCTTGAGTCCATGATACAGGATTATATCCACCAATTATATCCTGGCTCCCTGCGATCTTTCCAACGACGATAGTTCTGGTGGCAAAATCACATCTCGAGTGAAATACATTCGGCTGAAAACCGTGTGAGCTTGCACGAAAAAGTAGTTTGAATTTAAATGACTTGTCTACGGATTTGATAATTGTAGAGTATATTAACGACGCATGACGAGAACCTATTATAGTGGAATCAATCAATCCATGACGTTTGGGTGGGGGGTTGAACGAGGGCCTGAAGTTGGGAATGTGAAAATAATGAAGTATCTCTTCATCCAGTTCAGTCGATAAAAGAGCTTTATACGGTATGCGTACTCTTGTAAAATATTCTTCTGGATTCATCTATAACGATTAGATAGAGTGTTTAAGAATGTATTGGTGTTTTATCGCGTGCTGCATCTTTGTATCTTGCTAGAAAGTGCTTATTAACCAATGATGTGATAGTACCTGGTGAAATCTAATCCATGGAAGACAATTCTCAAGTGTTTTTCGTAATTCTGTCCAATGTTCGTTCGACAGTTGTTGCAATGTCATACCTTCCAACGACTCGGTTCGGCCAAAGGCCCATTTTAAAACACAGTCCCATATATCGACTTCATCCATACAAAGGTCATCTCGTTTTAGTAATTCGATCAAAATGCTCTCTTCAAGTTTGTGAAAGTTTTCAGATTTAAAAATGACGTTCGGATTATTTGCGAATGCTTCTAGTATGAATGAGTTCAATTTGTCGAATGCCGAGAATTTGTAGGAACATTGTACAAGAGTAACGAGATTCTGAAGGAGCCATTCGTGCCGTTTATCAATTAGATACGACTCTGTTTCGTTGAATAGTGTTGAAAGGCATAACTCGTCTGATGCTATTAACAGTTTTAATAGGTCTTCACATGGTAGTGTATCTATTCGAAATAGTCCCGTGTACAAATACCTAAAGTAACGATAACTGTTCATAAATGCACTTGAATGTATTATCCTTGTCAGATTAGTTATTTGTTTTACCTCAGAATTATCTTGATGATTCTGGGCGCAATATTAGGCTTTGAAAATTTAATGATTCCATTCTCGCGTTCTTGCCATTTTTTTGATAGCGCAGTTCTAAAGTAAGCACACCGCGCTCGCAGAAGAAATGAATGGGCTCCTATTTCTTCTACTTCGTCGTTTTCTCCACATCTTATTATCAAGTCATATTCATCACTACTACATAGGAGAGCTTCCAAGTCGTTAACAAGTTCCGCAGAATAATTGAAGGACATCTTCTGCTACGGTCAAATAGTCACTTGTCTCGGTAAGTTAACATCGGTCATCACGTGATATATAATAAACCATACTAAAGATGCAATATTCAACTGTCAATGTTCTTTTTTATTTCGAGCCGCTTCACAAGGCCTATTGTTACAAATTCAACATTAATGCTCGACCAACACCCCTTCAGAGTATTGTTATCACATCTTCCATTTGCAATCACGAAACTAGTTGAATCACATGTACCATTTCATCCCAAGCACATGTAGCAATCTGTCCTTCTACATATAAATTAAAATCTATTCCTAATACAAATTCGGTATGTAAATTATGCAACATCAATAATGGGTTCATCGTAGCGACATTCCATACTCTCATCGTCATATCATATGAAGCGGAAGCAATAATATCACCAGAATGAGGTGAATATTTCACCCTCCTCACGGCATACTGGTGCCCTTGTAACGTCTTCACTTCGCGGTCGGGAAATCTGAGATCCCATATGCGAAGGGTAGTGTCAACAGAGCCTGTTACGATGGTTTGATCGCGGTATTTATTCCAGTCGAACGATAAGATTTCATCCCGATGAGCAGGTATGACGATAACGGGTTTGGGTGTTTTAGTATCCCAAAGACGAAATGTGCGATCTCCTGACACTGAGCCGAATAAATCGGCATTATATGGTGACCAGAGTGTGCTATAAATACAAGCTGTGTGGCCTGTGAATGTTGAGAGAGATTGGGGTTGGTCCGGATGCCACTAAATAGAAGAATGTGTTGAAATGGATTAGCCAACAATAATCTAAGATGTATGACATCTTCGTTCATGATAAACCCTATCCTTACCAATTTGATTGTCTGATCCCACGATCCACTAACGAAAGTATCCTTCTTGATGTAATTCCAATGCACAGAAAACACCTCTCTTTGGTGCTCTTTCCAGTTCCGTATCGGAAATTCCTAATACGATTCAATAGAAACATATTCACAGACACACAGCTTAATATCAACAGACTTACAGGTATGCGGTGATCATATACAAACCGCAAGTGTAATATCCCATAATTTAATAGATCCATCTCCACTTGCTGTCACAATCTGGTTCTCATTAATCTCGCTCCATGAGCAATCAAACAGCCCATCTTGAGTATCGAACCTACGAAGCGTTGAGATGTTTTAATTATACAGGAGAAAGCAAAATTTTTCTAGCTTTAGATAGTTTGATCGATTTACATTCGTTCCATGCTCATTCCATTCGGCGTTGTGCCCAGATTAAGAATAAACAGTCGACCATTTCCAACCAGTCCAAAGTTTGCAGATGATGCACATGCCAGTTTATGTTCAACGAACGGGCTGAATTGTACCTATTCGATAGAAAGGAATAGCCACATGGGTTACAAGACCTGTCAGACATACTTTCAGACAATATCTACTTGGTCATACAAAAGAATGAACATCTATGGATAAACCATGCTCACCGAGTATCCATTATACCCTTCAGTTTTAAAAGTAAGCATATTCGCTTTGACAACAACGTTTATCCATCAGGGCCTATTACATCATCGATAATATGTCGATCTCGTAAACAAATATGCAGGATGATTTTCGGGAAGCAAGGATAATCTTACGATGCAGCTTCGACATGAACAAAGACTCTTCTCTTAAAAGTTCGTTGTATACAGATTCATGTCAAGAAATATAAAAATAATATGGACATTTTCGTTAATTGAACCGTATAGGGAACATTACCCAAGATATTTTATATATAGTCAATATTCCACTGTACTGTATGATCAGTCTTGCATTGTTCTTCGAAAATATCGTATTATGTCTACCATACGTCTAAACTCTTGCTTATAAAATTGGGTCGGGACGCACGAAAGATTATGGAATTTTGTCTTGTGTGCGATTTCGAGACCATGTCAAATAATGGTCTTATTTATTAAGAAATACTGGAACCTTTAGTTAAGATTGGTTAAGATTAATTAACAGTTCATATACACCCTCTCATATTAATATGGGTTATTTTCAACTGATTAACTAGACAACATATAAAAAGAGGATTGTAACCTGTTTTAACATTTTAGACTCGGTTCTCTATAGCGTTAATATGACGCGAGACTTGTGACAGTCTACTAAACATATACTTTTTGAACTTCGTCGATAGTATCAAAGGTGAAAGATATCTGTGAAAAGCTGAACTTGTTTTGCCCACTGCATCACCTTTCAATAAATTAATTACACGATTATTATCGAACAGCTTTAATTTCCCACACAATTTTGATGATCTATTCAGGTGGCATATTACAAGTCTAAACGTAACAATAATAATAACAATAATAACAATAATAATAATAATAATAATAATAATAATAACCGTACACTTTTGAATAAATAATATGTTATGCTTAATTCGAGTGAAAAGGCAATTGCGCTATTGCTATTAGAATAATCTATAGAAGCTTAATGTTTCCCATTCGGAGCACTGTTTTAGAAATTGGTCTAATACTAAGTGATATTAATATGGTGTTTCTTACTAGCTCTTGGCGAAACATGTGACAAACATTCCTTTTGGAGAATGAACCAACAAACTGGGAAAGTATAATACATGTTAATATTACTGCACTAATCTTATCTGGCATATATTAAAAATGACGAAACTAAACAAGTCGACTGATATATCGATATTACTAATAATATCTTCAATGGCAATGTTTCTTATTGTTGATCAAATAGAGCTAAATCCATATTTCCAAGTATTGTCTTTTCAGACATCAACAAGCCCTGTCATAACATAGTATAACGGTTTGTCCCAAAGAATTTACTATAAATCTTGCTAATTTAGGTTTCAAGACGTTGGACGAATACGAAATGCACCAATCGTAACCGTTTACTTAAATGTAGACCGTCAATTCACACGACATGCCAATAAATAATAATAATAAAATAATTTATTACTGCTGATGGGCTCGTATCACGTAATCTCACAACTAATTAGCATAAAAATTTCCGTTCCACCGCATTTATTGTCGGTGGGTTTGACGAAAGGTCGAAACAGACCAGAAAGCACAAAGTAAGATTCGGTACACGAGAGTTATTCACCTTTATATTGCTTCTCTGCTCTTGCTTTTATCGCTGAGGTGCTATAAAACGTACATAAACAGGGATTTAATTAACCTACCCCGTCTCTCCTTCCTATTTCGTCTCTTTTCACTCCAAACAACATACTTCCCCTTTTCCTTTCTCCGAATAGCAACTACAAGACTCCACTCACGGGTAACCCATATAAATAACTACCTTGTTCTGCGAACATACCCCAGTTTAAGCTACAGGAATTGAACGATTTCATAAAAATTGAAAATGAATCCGCGTTCTCGTCGTAGAAAACATACCATCTCCCAGCTCAACCTTATGGTGGTAGGTTTTAAATCCCTGGGCAAGACTTCGTTTATCCGTATGCTTGCCGACACTCTTCACAATCGACAACACGACAAGGACGAACTTCCACCTGCTGTCTTCCAAATAAGCCAAACGCCCGAGGATACTGGCACGAAGGAATTGTATTCCTTCACAACGGAAGTCGATGAAGAGGGAGAGAAGATTTCATTAACATTGGTAGACACTCCTGGGTTCGTAAAGGATAACGAATTGAGATTGGACGTGCAGGTCACGGAAGTTTTGCGATATATCGAAGCTCAATTTGATCAGACTTTGGCTGAGGTAAGAATTAAAATCTGTTTGATGAATTGAGTCTCAATGTACAGAAAAAACAATGGCGCTTTGGAGAATTATATTTTATTATTGGTATTTTGGCGAATTGGTAAAATAATCGATTGGAGTAATTGATCTATTGGGCGCTAGAGCTTGACCCTTAAGAGGGCTTGTTTGTCGGCTACAGAAATCTAAGGACAAGAGTTAGAGGCTTTCGCCGAGGCTTAATACACGATAGGGGCTTGGTATCCACGTTTGATAAGGAATTAAGAGTTAATTAATTACAAGATTATGTGACCACTTTATTTAAAGGTTTTTAGTCAGTATACACACCCTACCCCGTTACACCTCATAGATAACAAACATTTTTATATTATTTTATCTAGGAAACGAAAGTAAAGCGCAACCCACGAGCGGTCGACAGTCAGATTCACGCATGTATCTACTTCATCGACAATGTCAACATGGGCCTAACCGACAAAGATATTCGCATTCTCAAACGAATCAGCGCACGTGTTAATGTACTCCCGGTCGTAGCCAAAGCCGATCTCCTAACAACCGCACAACTCGGCAAATTGAAGCAGACCATCACCAACGATCTCAAAACACATCAAATACCCGTTTTCGCCTTTCCCGCAGAGGACGATGAAGATGTCGAGACTGAAATAGTCGAAGATATCACAATACTTCAGAAATTGCTTCCGTTCTCGGTCATTGCACCCGAGGATGCTGAAATTACTGATCCATCGACAGGACAAACAATCCGCGGAAGACAATACGCCTGGGGCGTTATCGATTGCCTAAACTCAAACCATTGCGACTTTCTTGTTTTGAAGAACGTGTTGATGAATACGCACCGTAGATTGTTTAAAGATATGACTTTAGAAGTGTTCTATGAGCAATATCGCACAGAGAGGTTATTGGCCAGAAAAGCGAGTAAGATGATCACGAAGGAACAGAAAAAGAAACTGTTGGACGATCTATCTGAGATTTGAAGACAGAAAGTAACATTACGATACGACGTGGCCATTACCTCACTATTTGTTTCTGCTGCTCCCGACGTTCTCTATATATTATTTCTGTACGGCGCTAAAGAGGAATGAGGATGATGAAAATGTTTTTGGTTAATCAGTTGAGTCCGGTATTCTCCTCGTCCTTATTGTTTATTCTATTGCGCATCTCAGGTCGTTGATTCACTTGATATGATACGTTATGGAAGAAATAAGAATCAATGATGCTCGGAGCCGGCATTCGAGCACCGTGCTATTAACAATGACGCCAATTATGCTAGGAGAGTTTATATATAGATATTAATGCGTTCTCTCCTATTCTTCTTTTGTTTTGGTGTAGCTGAGTACCTTTTTCCTCACTTTTTATCTATTACAGTTTATTCTTTGTTGTTTCATTCCTTTAATTGATACTATTCTTCCTCAAATACTGGATGTCTATATTGTACCTTTACGTAATTCTAGAATTTTGTGTGATGCAAAAGTAATATCAATTGGATCATTATATTTATAAATAGGATATTTATATCTTAATATACTGTATTCCTGTGTATTAGAAGGAATACCAAGTTATTTATCAGCTGACATGAATGTCACGCTTCAGTTGAAATCGCTTGCAATTATTTTGTACCTGTTTCTAATGCATAATGGTTACATGACAGGAATGTTTGACCAATGTGTTTCGTTTATGGTGATCATATATGGCGTGTACTGCCACAAAACCAGACGAAATGAACGCTAGGATGACACTGCTTTTCACGTTGCTTTTAAATTTGTGCTTGTTTCTTGATGCTTGTCACATGTTTGGTGCAAGCAGGAAGTTTGAAATTGAACAAGTTAATTTCCACGTGTTTTAGTTAATCGCCTTATTGTTCATTACACAGTATATGATAAACTTGGTGTGTTACCTTGGAACATTTAGGGTGCATAATATATTAATATTTAATTTATAATTGAATTACAATTGTTTAGTAGCACAATGGCCAACTCTGCGATCGCCAACCAAATTTTCGTGTATAAACTTGCTCAATGACACCTTTTCTGTAATAATCGATTTTCGTGAAGCAAAAATCAATCATTTCTGACAACATTCTAGTCACATTCTTGTACTTATTGAGACGTAGTGTAATATTATCAAGACTGCTAATTTCATAAAGACTAAATTATCGCCATTTTCAAACGCGTCATGCGATTTCTTGGGAATCTTCCCACCTTCAGAAAGTACCTTGCCTATACAACAGCCCTGAATGATTTATTGCCCAGTTAAGATTTTTTAATTTATTACGACGCGAAATAATTCTGGTTACCAAATAATTCTTGCCTGAAGAACAATGTTCTCAATTTACCTATTAGCTAATTGGCAGTAGCGACGTCTAAAACTTTCCTGCCATACTATAAAAAAATATTTACGCAATGATCGTCAAGTCAATTTGGCCGGTACAGGTTATATTAACAAGTGTCTGAATCGTTAGTCGATATGACTCAATTCCACGGCAAAGCTGACAGCCAACTGGTAGAGAATAAATGTGGGTGAGATGAGTAAATTATTCGTTGCAATAAGCAATTACTAATCTGTACAATATTATTTACCTTTGAGAATTCAAGCATGTGGTCAAAGTCAAGATTCTCTAAAACGTCATTCGATGTATGAATGTATGGATTAGAGTTCTCAAACTTTCCTTCGAAAGCAAAGGCAGATGGGTAGCCGGCCTACGAATATTAAATTTACGATTTTATCATATAGCATATAAGTAATGATTCAATGCATTTATACAAATTCAACGTGATGGTTAAGCAATTAGAGACAAGTTACAGACCTTCCTCCAAGATGCATGATCAGAACAAGCATACCTAACAAACAATAACAGCACCAATCAGTAACGGGTCTAATACCTACACACCTCTTTGTCACATTCTAATATCCGTTCAAGTATACTTACCCGCACTTGGTATCTACAATAGGCATGTTCGCATACTGCCTTGCAAGCTTCTTTAAGAACAGCGTCAAATCATCATCCACGTAATCGACAATAATTCCAAATGAACCCTTTTGGTTTCCGACATATCCGGTCATATCATTCTGAAGCATTCCAATGACATCTCTCCCTTGGCGTGCATAATACTGTGCCACCGCTTGCGATCCCAATAGACCAACTTCTTCGGCAGAATACCAATGGAACTCGACTGGGCGTGTAGGTTTGAAGCCGCCTTCGACCAGGACACGGAAGGCTTCGAGTATTGTTACTGTACCACTTCCATCATCATCGGCTTCGTGGAACGAATATGGAATATTGGAAAGTTAGAGAAGGCGATTCACAAGTACAGAAGCAAAACGTGCGAGTACTAGATCAATCTCAGTCGCTCATTTTTTCCGGGGCGTAAAAATTTTCTTACCTCCTGGAGACCTCCCGACCATGGGGAACCACATATTGATACTATCTTGATGCGCTCCGACAATAACAACCTCTTCCTGTCTGTCCGGATCACTACCCTCGAATCGTGCTATAATACTTTTCTGTACCCACGAATGTTTGAACTTTTTTACCGACACATCAATATCGTCACTTGCAGCGTTGATGATCGCGAGAATCTGTTTAAACAACCATTTTGATGAATCTGCCCCTGAAGATGAGCGATAGTACCGTGTGTGGAAATTGGTAAACGCCTTGAGAGTTGTTTTTAATCTTTGAGCTTCTAGAAGCGGAATAAACTCGGATACTTCGGAAACGTAGTTAGGCACATCGGGATAGACTGGCGAAAGGATAGATTATCAAAGGAAAAGACAATAAGCTGGCATTTCTTGTATATGTTTCTTATCGATCCGATTGAGCACATTCTTTCCCATTCGTCATAATAAACTTTCGCCTTTGCTTACCTCTGGTCTTCTTTGCAACGGCTGTCACACCTTTTTGATCCTCGGTAACGTCCATAAACTTTACTCCCGCCCTAATCAAAACTAGAATCTCGTCTTCCGTTAACCACGTGGGTGGCTTGTTTTCTGCCACTTGGATTAGTCTCAGCACGTCAGTCCATCTGCCATCGGATGGTTCAGATTCAGATTGTAAATTTAGGCCTACTGATCGTGAGCCCGAACGAGCTGATGCAAGGAAGGGAAGGAGGAAGAGGACAAGAACGAGGAAAATGGGCGATAGCAGGGAGGATACCAATTTTCTGACCATGGTGAACTAGACTGGGGGAATTGCTACTGAATAGCAATGAAGGGGCGGGGGGGAGTAGGCAGGCAAGTGTCCATTTATTGAAACAAAATGCTAGCCCCTTGATGACACAAATCCAATATGAATTCGGCCTTTTTCGGTCTCGTCCTGATCTTCCCAATTTGATAAGAATTGTTTTGAAAAAGCTAACACAGTTCCATTGCTTCCCAATGGCTTCAAACACCGAGACGGAAATAATCTAGAATCGAAAGTAAAAGACTCTAGCTTGTGATTCTTTAATTATTCAAGTTGAAAAACTGAAGAGACTCGCAAAGCTTTCTATATGGCACTCGTGACTTGAATCATGGTCTACCCACGCGCCGGTTTGTTATGAAAGCTTCGTATTAGGCCATATTTGGTGTTCATACAAAGTAGTATAGATATTTTATCTTTTTCGATCAAATGGTTTAGCCATTTATTGGCTAGAACTTAATTGAATACAAGCAATCTGCGATTGTGACAAATAGACGGAGCCTATACCTAACGATTAAGCGATTATCATGGAGTTTTATTAGTTACACCTACGCCTGAACGCTAAAGGTGTATTTGCACTAAAAAGGCAGCTATTATCTATGGAGTTTTGGTCAACAACACTTTTAACGTCGCACAGTATATTCCGATATATAGTATTTAACACAATGATGACCGGAATTAATGTCGGTTCTTTACGAATTATACTGTGCACCATTATTATCTTGATTAAGGTTACACACGATTACCATTAGGTTGTTCCTTTATTAGGTAGCACCTAGAAATCGTTACACAGTGTCGTTTGAATGTCTATTGATACTCACATTCTCGATACCATGAATTAAGAAAGATAGGATTGCAGCCAAATTGGGCTATATAACAATAATTTTTCTTGTGAAGCAGTTATAAGAACATTAGATAGAGTATCAAACAATGCCAGCAAGCAAGCACAAACATTGGCCATAATAATGTCATTGACGGAGAGAGCAGCGTTAAGAATCGAGCGCCAAATCACGTAAAATGGTGTAGTACGGGCAATCTACCGGCAGACGCTATTAATCATTAATAACACTGGATTAATGCTCTCGATTCCATACAATGACGTATCATTCATTTATGCCGTCGGTACAGTTACGTAACATTGGACACGTTCGTGATAATCAAGGGAATTTACGATTTGGGCTGGTCCGTAGCTAATGACTATGCCTGATACTGAATATGCCCAGAACAAAGTGTTTACCGCCTGTGGCGCAAACGTAGGAAATAATCGGGGTACACGAAGAAATTTACCCGCGAAAGAAAGCTTATCGGTCAGCTGATGTGTTGTACAGCATACTTATTTGTTACATGCTTGGGAGAGAACGCCTTCATGAGATGCATAATAATAATATTTATTATTATCGGAATTTGGATTCCATCACATCAATTAACATAATCCGCTTTATCGCCATGTCATCTTACTCCAATAGCAATTTTAGTCTTGACATTTGGTGATGCTGCGTAGCGTCATACTGTAAACAAACGCAGGGACTGTGTCATCAGTCATAATATAGAATGAAGATGAGCTTGTCATTGCAGATATTCTGGATACAATCTCCCAGGCACGTGAATACTTTGAGATGCGCTATGATGGTTTATATTATAATAAATTATTACTGTTGTGTTTGTGCAACTTTTCATCCACACGCGTCATGTAAAATAGATTTGGGAACAAACGTATTTTTAAACAGTGATCCAGAGTCACAGCAAGCCCGATTAATCTGACCCGTTGGTGAAGCATTTCTGTTAAATACGATAGTCCTGTAAATTGTGAAATCGGTAATGACGCAATATTCGTAACGATCTGATGAGAATTCAAAGTTGGAGGTGCTCAAGTATGTGCAACATGCCTGATGGGTGTAGCGGTTACATCAATCAGTATTCAGAAATCCCTTTTTCACAATGAACGGAATGTGCATTCCCGGTAATCACATGACTACTGATAATCGATTAAAAAATTTCGGGTACACTAAAAAACCTTTAACATTCAACAATGTTGGACAAATTCTTCAACTCTTTGCTCGAGAACAATCCCTACTTCACTGCTGGCGTAGGTGTGGTAGGCTTTGGTGTTGGCGTAGCCACATTAAGAAGAGGGCTCGTCTTGGGTACTGAAATCGCCCGGAGACGATTACTGGCTACGCTAGAGATTCATTCAAAAGATGTATCATACATGTGGTTCCTGCAGTGGATGTCACAGCAGCCAGCAAGAAGGACGCATAAATATGCCGTGCAGACTTCGTTTGTACAGCATGATAATGGAAGTGTATCAACGGCATTCAGCCTAGTTCCTGGTCCAGGAAGACATTATTTTAAGTGGAAGGGTGTATGGTTCCAGGTGTGTTCTTGTTAGTATAATGTAAATATTGCGGGTGCGACACTTGTATACCCTCGCTTCGTTCTAGCATTATCAAACAACTCTTGATCATCTCTTTATTTTTCTCTACGCGCTCACCAATTTCAGATCGAACGCCATAGAGACAAAGCTGTCGACTTGATAACAACAACCCCTTTTGAAACAGTAACTCTAACCACTCTCTCTCGCGACAGACACCTCTTTACCGAACTTCTCCATGAATCTCAGGCGATTGCTCTGGCTAAACAGGAGGGCAAAACTGTGATATATACTAGTTGGGGTCCGGAATGGAAACCATTCGGTTTACCGAGAAAGCGACGTCTGTTGAGTTCGGTAATCTTGGATAAGAATGTGAAGGAAAGGATTATTACGGATATTGAAGAATTCATCGGGAATGGAAAGTGGTATAGTGAGAGAGGTATGTTTTATTGAATCGGGGGGATGTATGGGAGATTAGAAAACATAAGAATTTCCCTCCGTAAGGTAATGATACGCGTGAGTCGTGAATGGCGGCGTGATTCGGTCGTTTTTGCGGCGCCCGATTTATGATAATTTTGAAGCCAACTATTTCTGCTTGATACTCTGTATAGAGAGTATTTATTATGAATAAGCAACTCCTTCCCCGCCAATAATTATCACAGCTAGACGCGTAAAAACCCTCTCCGAAGTGTAGGGATACTCATCAAAGCTAGTTATCCTAACATACGTGCTCAATGATAATCACCACCCCTCCCACCCTTTCAAAAGGTATACCTTATCGTCGCGGTTATTTACTCTACGGTCCACCCGGTAGTGGTAAGAGCAGTTTCATCCAAGCTCTCGCCGGAGAGTTGGGATACAACATATGTATTTTGAACCTTGGCGAACGCGCGTTGACTGATGATAGATTAAATCATCTGTTGAGCAATGCGCCGGAGAGGAGTATCTTGTTGCTCGAGGATATTGATGCAGCCTTTACCTCTCGAAAACTTCAGGACGACGGGCAGGGGTTGGCTTGAATTATTTTTCTCTTGATTTCGGTTTCTTGGTCATGGTGATGGACTCCAAAATATTTATGGAGGGTTGAGTCGACTACGTGTTTATACTAACCCAACAATTATTCTATCACTACTGATGACGCAAACATACTACTCACTTTACTCTTTTTTTTTTTTTTTTAATCCTATCCCGATCGCATCAAGCTACCCCTCTATGGTCACGTTCTCCGGCCTATTAAACGCTCTAGACGGTGTAGCTGCTTCAGAGGAACGCATAATCTTTATGACAACAAATTACGTCGAACGACTTGATCAAGCCTTGATTCGTCCTGGTCGGATAGACATGAAAGAATACTTTGGTAACGCTACCGACTATCAAATCAAGCACATGTTCCTCAGGTTTTACGAGAACGAAGAGAGTTTGGCAGACGAGTTTGTCGAGAGAACGAAAGGACGCGCTGTTAGTCCTGCTCAGTTACAGGGACATTTTGTTTATTACAAAAATAATCCTAAACAGGCTGTTGAAATGGCAGAAAACGTGTTCCAAGCCTGGTGAGAAGAACGAGAGACGACGGGTAAGATGGATAGATGGAAGTTTAGTGCATGTTGTTTGAGAGTAGATTAGATAGTGTTTTTAGAGGCATTTGATCTTTAAGATTAAAAGACAATTTTGTTTAAAGACTTGGAATTAAGTGCCAATTCAAAGGTTTTCACTGTCATCATTATCTCACGTGAATGACTGGTTTTCTATTTGCGTCATTTGTTTACTCTGTGGGAATAACCGAACTGATCGCGCGTCAAATAGTCGAGCTAAGCCCTTTTGGCCCAAGTAAACGTTATTAACATGTTCTGCATGATATGGTATGGCAGTTTCACACGATATATCATTTTCCGATGGAAACACTGGAATTTGACACTAAAAAGAACGACATGTTTTACAGTACGTAACGACAAAGAAAGGTAGGAGGCCCACGTTATTACTACTTGAAAGAGTTACTGTCCTGCATATCGCGCAACAAAGTTTTCTTTATTTGCGCCACCATCATGATGTCTTAGTCTGGGGGAGGGGGGAGGGGGGGGGGGAGGGGGGGGAGGGCAAGCAAACCTTTCTGCAAGTAGAAACTTAAAAAAAATAAAGTTTTTGCTATCGTTCGAAACTGGCAACCAAAATGGGAAAACGCGCGATCGGATATTTTAAGAGGGAAATGCACGAGCCAATGAGATGATGTGACGAAGATCCGTTGTTATTGGTCTTTTTTTTTCTTCTTTTTTTTGCATTCGTTTTGTGATTTAGAAATTATTAAACGATTTTTTATTATTTGTCAAAACTGTTATACACTATGCAATCAATGTTTTTGTTGTGTGTATTATTTACAAGTTACACTCTTTGATGACTGAATGGTGGGGGAGGGAAATAGACGAGAATATACAAACATCTTGTGATTATAAAAAAAAAAAAAGTATTAAGAGAATAAAAATGAATAAGTGATGATAAATGATTACTTTTTTTCATCAAACTGAATTGAATTGTAGAGGAAAAAAAAGAAACGGTAATAATAATAATAGTAATAAAAGAAATAAACAAGAAAAATAATTCTCTCTTCTTTCTTTAGAAAACGTCCATAGAATATATATATAAAAAAAAGTCCTGGCATTTTAGAATTACTATTACGCAAAGATTTCCCATGATTTTTGGGATTTTCTTTTTATCCTAGTTTTTGTTGTCCAACACCCCCAACTCTGACCCATCCATCATCATCGCTCCACACTGCAACACCTTCCAAAAGCTCTCTCTTCCACACCACTCCTCTGTATTGAAATGTCCAAAAACTCCACCACATAGCCAATAGCATTCCACTCCATAGATTAGTCCACACAGTGCCGGCGATTCCAGGAAACGCAGTCAGATCAGTTCGATAAATGAGAGTAATATGGAAATAATATTTTACACCTTCCCAGAACAGGATCCACCCGGCCGATGCGCCAGATAAACACCAGATGCGATACCACTTGAGATGGGATGTGGCTTCGAGCAGCACCAAATGTTCCCACGTAATAAGGCCCCAATGACCACGACGAAGCGCGAGCAATAGTAGGAACGAAAGGATAGGAAAGAACGTCGATGTCCAATCGGAATGGATCAAAAATGGAGGCAACTCGCTACCCTTTAATTCGTCGATAACAAACTCGTCTCCCTCTCTCTCTGGAGACAGCTCCCAGCTTTTCTCCTCTTCCATTTTGATTTCGTTACGTTCGATCAAACTCAAACAAATGGCCCAGCCCGACCATACGATCCACGTTCCGTACAGCACAAACGCTCGCTCGATGCGTGATAGCTTCAATATGTTTGCAAGTAATGTGCACACGTGAAAAAGTGTCGTTGCGAGATAGACCAGATGCGTGAACGAGGATGGGGTCCAGTGGTATAGTGTTGTAAGTGTTGTAGGTGTTGTGAATAGCGTGTATGAATGTTGAGCAATTATTAAAAGGTGGATTGTCATTGTAAATGGTGTATAGGATGTTATTCTGGTTGTCGGTATGATCAGCGTGAGCAAAAGTTGTGGATATAAATGTGGTTAGTATGAGTAAACAGGATTTATAAAAGGGAGAGTTGTAGATTTGTAGATTTGTTTTACGTTTTATTTTTACATACGAAATGTCATATGACATTCGATGCCCTAGTATATCTGGGATAATAATATCGTCGATAGGGTAAACTTTAAGTAAACTTACATTCTTGTTCGGCTCTTGATAACAGGTATCGCATTCTTTTCTTCACTGAAACTAGTCTTGTCGCTTTCCCGAGTCCCATTCTCATTTCCCTCCTCACTTTGCTTCTCGCCCGTATTACTATTATTATTATTACTACTCTCGTCCCGTATATCGTCTTCCAAGGTTGTTGTGGTTTCTTTAGTTTCATTGGCTTCATTCTTCTCTTCTTTTGTATTGACCATGGTTTCTTTGTTAATTTCTGCTCGGACATGCTCATCGATGAGTAGCCTTTCTTTCGAACCAAGTTCAGTGTTTGCAAAGTGTTTGATAAGTTGGTGTTCGCTTGTTACAAAGCTATCGTTGCATAGTGTTTTTGATAGTGTCATGGGTACCAGTGTGGGTGTTATTGAGAGACATAACATAAGTGTGTGTGAAGATGAGAATAGCAAGTTAATTATTTCGGGACGAGTACGAGTGGCGTAGAAAGGTAAGTATGCGGTTATTGTTAACGAGGATAGTTAACCGAGTTCGGATATATATGGAAAAGACGATGATACTCGTTTAGCCTGGATGGTTTATAGAATTGCTCTTTAAAAGTAGAAGGTTTTGCTTTTGCGTTTTGTTTCTGGACAAGCACGAGAAGAAAAAAAGACTACAACTTTTATAAACTTTACTGTCAAAGCCCTATTCGTTGAATTGGGGGGGAGGAGGGGGGATGTGTGTGTAATGTGTGATGGATTAGTAGTGATTTGTGATATTAGACGACTATTCGAGTGGTACGGGTATCGTAAAGGATTTGAGCGATATATATCAATCACATGCTAATCAAGGGGCTAATACATATACTTTATATTATATGCAAGTAAATATACGTGTTTGATGTACGCTTTATGTACAGTCCGAAAATGGTAACAACGCAAATATCTATGTGAATGCATGTGCACAATCACTTGAATATCTCGGGCATAGATAATTTATATGGCAAAGTCTATAAATTCAATAAATAAAATATCGACTGTTAATTAATGAATGGGAAATCGCTTACTGTTGCCGCCAGTGCCGCCAGCAAGGCATGTGAAATGAAAAGCCAAAGAAGAATGGATAGTCGGGTACGAGATTGTGCGTTAATGTCAATCTCATGCGAGCAGTTTATTCTTATCTGTAAAACCCCTATATCTGGTAATCATATACGATTACTTATAGCCATTATAGCCATGTCACTAATAATATTATACCAATGATATACCAATGATATGCCAGTGATATGCCAACGATATGCCAACGATATGCCAATGACATGATATCATGACCGCCATACCAATGATACCAATGAGTGCCGCAGCAAGCGAGTAATTAATATCCGATCATCACCTGATTGACAAATGTTGTTACTATTTATAGTCAATGTAAGCATAATCGCATTGCTCCTTGTCCCTTCCCACACTGAATTTCAAACTTTGTTGTTGTCCCTCCTCTCCCCTCCCCCCTCCCCCTCCTCCCCTTTGACTCGTTGATTGTCGTATTGTAGATTTTAGATTGGTATGAGAGAGGGGTTCACGGGCCCTCCGAATGTTACAAACGTTACGCAGATGGCATTGAGGATTGCCCAAAGTGGAATCTGCACCACCCATTCTGTATTCTGTGTGAATAAAGATTCTTTTTGAATGGAATTATTAATATTGTTTACTATTATATAACCTTTCCTTTGTTCCCAGTCCACCGTCCCATCCCCCCATTATTTGTCGCCATAATAATAACCATAATGACACAACCATAACAACCATAATGACCATAACAACCATAACAACCATAATGACCCTAATGAACCCGTTGTCTTATCATCACCATATATACCCAGCATTGGGCCCCATCCCTCCCCATCGATTCCCGCCAACACATTGAAGTAGGTGGACTGTGTGTCCTGCTTGTTTGATGAGATGGCTGTGCCTGATAGCGTAATTTGTACAATATATTAAGTATTACACCAACACTAAATTATAATAACGGTGTATTGAAACATTAATAAATAACATACACAATAGTGAATGTATCGGATAGTAAATGACTTTTTATATATGCTTGCATTATTGAATTCTATAAGTGTATACATGGTCTAATTGCGTATTACGTCATATTATCAATCAACCTTAAAGCTTGGCAAATTCCTATTACTTTTATGGACAGATGAGCTAGATAACAGTGTCCCGACGACTCGACATGCCCGACAAGACCAAATTAGATACAAGAGATGTTTCATATGCAGCATTATATGTCTTGCGGTATTTTTATGCCTTCCCTCCATTCTGCTGTCACTTTTGACATATTATCGTGACATTAGGATATTCCACGTGTCAGAACCCATACTTTGTCAATCGAGATAATGTATGTTGGTGTATGTTGGTTACATCTGCCTCGATTCGGTAATTTCTGTGACTAGAGAATTTGACGTTAATTGGGGAACCCTGTTTGTAGAATCTCATTCGGGCTGAGTTTGCAAATGTCAAATTTACGCTGATCGACAATCACGCATACATACATGAGAGTTGAATTTGTAATTCCGAATCCTTCTTGGTCCGTTCGTCTATATGTGTGTGTGTGCAAGTAATAGTAAACCAAGTGTAAGTGTAACTTTTGTCCGATAATAATACCTTTTTTTTTAAAGAAGGATATTATAATTCGAACGTTCACGGGTGTGAGAGTGTGTTTACTTGCCTCGCCTATGATTGACTACCAGTGAAATTCTTTACCCCTGCATGTGATTTGCAACTAACATAAGAGCGAAAAAAAGATAGGCCCAATTATTATCGGAAAACAAGCGACCGACTCCTATTACATGTACGCAATGTCGATTAGCCACTTGCCATAAACAGCTGTCGACAACAATACGTACATTCACAAGTGATCGTTGCGCTATATAAAAATACATTTTTCATCCATTGTCCATCACCATTCACCATCACCATTCACCTCTTCTTCCCGTCCAGATTGAACGTGAATTCACACTATCCCACATTTTGCAAACAAGTTATAAACATGCACGCATTGTTTACCCATACATGACAAAGTTATGAATGGAAATAAACTATCACACAACAAAAGTATTGTGTTTCATTGGTTATACATCCAATCGTTATCATATATGATTGGTTATAGTAAATTAAGGTTTGAAGATAATAAACAAGGGGAATAGAAAGGGGAGAAGGAAAAAAAAGGAAAAAAAAAAGAGAGAAAAAAAAAAAGAGGGCTGCAAAAGTGAGAGAATAAGTGAGAGAGCGGGGAAGCAATAAAGATATGTAGCGTGCTGTACAAATACATCATAGATGCACATCCAATCATCAGGCAATCGTATTATCACCTGACATCATATTCAAGACATGCAAGTTAAATCTTGCGAATTGGATATTGTTATTATTATATTATTGTGTGTGCGTTTATTGTATGTCTGTACGTTTGTACGTTTGTGCAAGAGATCATCACATACGCCAACTAACAATCCCCAATAAAAAAAGACTAGCGTAATAACAACGAATATGACTATGAATGGACTTTCGATGTGCTGAGCCAAAAACTCAAGCACGGGGAGTTTCAAGACGGTTATGGAAAAATTAAAATGGACAAGACTGGCGCAGAAGGTTGGGGGTGTTGGGGAGAGGAAAGAATAAAGAAAAGCGAATAGGAAAGTTCACTTGTCCCGACAGACAGTCTCTTTCTCTCACTCTCACTCTCACACACATACATACACACATACACACATACATACATACATCGCTTTTTTTTTTTCTTTTTTCTTTCGTTTCATGTGAAAACTAATTTCGAATATTCTTGCAAAGTTTCAACTACTACAACCAAACGGGATTCTTTTTTGCGCCTAAAGCGTGTGCAAAGTAATCGTCTTTGGCATACTCGAAAATAGATCTGGGCAGTCCTTTTTGATTTTACGCGGACCCAATAGCAAATATGCATTTAACACAAGATGTTTGCAATAACAATAAAGGATTGCATTGCACGTTCTGTCACATGAAAAAATGCTTACAGTGTGTGATGTTTGAGAGATACAGTTTTACTCCTTTACTCCGCCACGGACAAACCTTTTGTTTGTGCAAAGATAGCCGAGTAATCAAATTACGCAGCATGTTGGCAAGACTGGAATAGAAGAGTATTGGGCTTAAAGACGCGTCGCTAAAATCAGTCATATGTGAGTTAGTCGGTAACTCTATGCGAATGCTTTTTGGATCCTGTAGAAACTTTTTATAGTCACATGAAAGCGTAGTAGTATTCCGCCAATCTCATAGCTCATTTGTGTATATGTGAGAAGGCAAGGTATAATTCTGGTTTCACGTTGACAAATGAATGCGGCTATGGTTGCTATACATTCCATACGTAAACATTATTCTTTCAGTAATCTTTACCAGAGCTATGAATATAAATCATTAATTCATTGACAGATGGACGCCTTCTATAAGCATAATAATAGAATAGTAATAGTAATAGTAATGGTAATAGTAATAGTAAAGGAGCAATCAACAATTCGAGATAGTTTAGAAGACGCAAAGTAAATGGAAAAGGGGAAAAAAGATATTACCATGTAAAGCCAATGGAACATTGATATGCCAAAATCGCGAGTTCGAAGGGATTCAAGGAGTGACGTACAATGCATGGCCAAGATTGTTAACATTAAACGTTTGAAGTAATAATGATAGTCGCCTGAATATTCTACCTAAAGCGAATTACGATTCATCAGAGTAACTTTGATTTCTGCTATTGAAAGAGATACATTGTACGTACGTAC